CATTTATATATATATATGTAAGAGTTAGACGGACCAATAATGTATAGTGTGGAGGCGAAACCCGTGCCACCTGCTTTGTCCCGCTCCTGTCTAATTATTCTAATTCTCGAACCGGGTGAATAGTCGAGCAACTTGAGATAGTAAACACAAAAACAGGTCGCGGGACGATAACTTGATTCAGACGCCCGCCGGTGAAAGTCGAGCGGAATATGGCGACGCGCCGAAGGGCTAGGTCACCTTCGGGTCAGGCCCTCACGCAATTGCCTCATGTGACGGTTGATCAAAACGGCGGTTCGAGCGGGAATGCGCACACTCGACACGCTGGCAGGCAGCCGGGGATCTCCAAGGGAAAGCGCACGAGGAGATCACTAGCGCGCTCTAACTTAAGACTCACCATCCAACACTGAGAGGTACAATGGACATCAAGGGAAAACGCACGAGATGTCCCTCTCAGCTACTGGCTTTAGATCACCCGGATCACACCGGGCGCTCCGGGAAAACGTACGGCGGGCCCGGTCCGGCGACCCAGGAGACACCCGAATTGGATCGGTGTCGAAGGGAAAGCGCACAACGACACCGACACTCGGATTCGAGAGACATCAACCGACCGTGCAAGAGAACAATGCTCGCGCCCCCGGTCAGCGGCCGACCACCAGAAAACAGCAATTTGGCTAACACTCACCAATTTTCCACACGAGCGACGACGGTACGCTCACCTCGGACGTCCAGCAGTGACTGACTCGTCAGTGATATCGTTCTTCTCATCCGCGTCTCTGTTTTCCAAACATAAACACTCTGTTTCCCCCCACCATTAGCCTCACCGAGATCGCTATTGTTTTCTAACGCTCCGAACGCTCATCGCGAATTTTCATACGAAATATCCACACCTCACACGATAGAAATGATTGGGTATCGGAAACGATAATTGGTTCAATATCTTTATTATACTTATGTGTTTTAGAGTAAGTATTCACAATAATAGACTGATGGCGCTTATTTGACAGGTGGGGGGGGGGGGAGAAAGAGGAGGAGGAAAAAAAGGAGCGAAACGCAAAGGATAAGCAAAAAGATTATATTTGTCTTAGGCAAAAATTATTTGTCTTACATATATACAGGGTGTCTTATAACTAATCTGGCAGAGCTCGTGGAGACATAGAGCGGGTCAAGACAAATATAAAAGTCCCATATCGTTTTGTGAGATTCGCAATAATTATCGAGTTATTAATGACAGAAATCTGAGGAATGAGTGCACGTCGAGACGTTTTGGGAGGAGCATCTAGCCGCTCAGGCTAAAGAGCACTGGCCAGTCGACAAAGGAACTGTTGCCGGCGCGCGGTGAGAGGAAGGACGACGCGCCAATGTTTATGTCCTTACCTCGCCGCTCCTACATCCCACCGCACCGCGTCTAAGCTCGCGCCGATATGGCCGCTGAATATTCGCGATTACAATTATGACATTATTTTATGAGGTACCACAGATAACTCATATTGAATTGTAAAGTTCAAGATTCAAAAGTTCTTTGATCAAGGAAAACATCGAAAAGTAAAAAGCGATAGAGAGCGATGAAATTTACAGAGATTCTCATCGTTTTCTATCGCAATCTATCGTTTTGCTGCATCGGATCCGAAAGAAATGATATCGCGTAAAGATAGAGTACGATGAACACTTTTCATCGTACTCTATTGTACTCTATCGTTAGGAGAATATTTAATTGAGTATGATAGATAATTAGAGTATGATAGAATTCGCGTAGAGACTCATCGTGTCCTATCGTTTTATTCAAGTCTACACGGAAAATATGTTTGGTTGAATGAACCCATTTTCTGATGAAATGAGAGAGAGAAAGAGAGAGAGAGAACGATTAAGAAATTTTGATTGAAAAAAGCACAATTTTGTTTAAGTTAACCATAAACCTTGATGAATTAGATTCAGTGTTAATATTTTCAGTTAATATTTCTCTGTATCGTTCATATTTCATTTGCAAGCTGTATCATGGACCAAACATTTTTACCATATATCATACATAAATTGTTGTCTTATATCGTAATTCTTCTCAGTGGTATATTAACGACAGTAGAAACTGAAAGTTCTGTATCGTACAATTGCGAAAAGAGGACCATCGTTGTCAATGGTGCACCAACGATACTCGGCATAAAATTGATTCTTAGGTATAATCGCGATACAACGCAAATCCGAGTGTTATTTTGACACGCATAAAAATAACGTGTCAAAATAACACACTCGGATTTGCGTTGTAGCGCGATTATACCTAGGAATCAATTTTATGCCGAGTATCGTTGGTGCACCATTGACAACGATGGTCCTCTTTTCGCAATTGTACGATACAGAACTTTCAGTTTCTACTGTCGTTAATATACCACTGAGAAGAATTACGATATAAGACAACAATTTATGTATGATATATGGTAAAAATGTTTGGTCCATGATACAGCTTGCAAATGAAATATGAACGATACAGAGAAATATTAACTGAAAATATTAACACTGAATCTAATTCATCAAGGTTTATGGTTAACTTAAACAAAATTGTGCTTTTTTCAATCAAAATTTCTTAATCGTTCTCTCTCTCTCTTTCTCTCTCTCATTTCATCAGAAAATGGGTTCATTCAACCAAACATATTTTCCGTGTAGACTTGAATAAAACGATAGGACACGATGAGTCTCTACGCGAATTCTATCATACTCTAATTATCTATCATACTCAATTAAATATTCTCCTAACGATAGAGTACAATAGAGTACGATGAAAAGTGTTCATCGTACTCTATCTTTACGCGATATCATTTTTTTCGGATCCGATGCAGCAAAACGATAGATTGCGATAGAAAACGATGAGAATCTCTGTAAATCTCATCGCTCTCTATCGCTTTTTACTTTTCGATGTTTTCCTTGATCAAAGAACTTTTGAATCTTGAACTTTACAATTCAATATGAGTTATCTGTGGTACCTCATAAAATAATGTCATAATTGTAATCGCGAATATTCAGCGGCCATATCGGCGCGAGCTTAGACGCGGTGCGGCAGGATGTAGGAGCGGCGGGGTAAGGACATAAACATTGGCGCGTCGTCCTTCCTCTCACCGCGCGCCGGCAACAGTTCCTTTGTCGACTGGGCAGTGCTCTTTAGCCTGAGCGGCTAGATGCTCCTCCCATAACGTCTCGACGTGCACTCATTCCTCAGATTTCTGTCATTAATAACTCGATAATTATTGCGAATCTCACAAAACGATATGGGACTTTTATATTTGTCTTGACCCGCTCTATGTCTCCACGAGCTCTATCAAATTAGTTATAAGACACCCTGTATATATCATTTTCACTATAGTCTGTTTTAGTAGCTCGGACATTAACCAGACTCAAATCACAGACATAAACCTCGTATCATTACCGAGACATCAAGTTAGTTGACGTCTATTTTCTCAGGGTGCGTATCAGAACAGACATATGCTTTAGCCCGGTGGCCGCTCTCAGGTTTCTCTCTGGTGTAACCCTGAAAATCTATAATATATGTGACATAAAGTACATATTTTCAACACTGGCAGTGAATATCAAAACTCAGCCTAAGTAACACAGCTGCGCAGTTCATTTTTGGAGATGCGAAATTTGGAGTATCGTTACTACTGTATATACTGTAGTCTAGATATACTACGCCTATAGTTAAAACCATAGGCATAGTATGACTACGTTTACACGGCTTCTAACTTCGACCAGAGAGAAGAAGGAGAGGTGTCATGGGCCGCTTTTAGCCGTGCCCAGTGTGAGGCGCCTTCTGCACAACCGTGCACATGAACTACGATGCCAATGTCCACGACTCTTTTCTGATTTCCCCCACCACGCACGCACACACAACCAGCTATGTCTATTCGCGTGACACGAATCAGAGAGAAGGAGAAAGGTCATGGGCTGCTTTTAGCCAAGCCCAGTGCGAAGCGCTCTCTGTACAACCGTGCACATGAACTGCGATGCCAATGTCCACGACTCGTTAGATCCCGTGCTATGTCCACGATTCTTTGGATCCTGTTCCATGCTATGTCCATGATTTTTCAGAATCTGTTTTATGCTATGAATACGAATGAGACTAGTTCATTGAATAAAGACAGATGTTCTTATCTCATTTTAATCGTGCCGACAGGTATGCGTCATACGTATTCGCTCTCTTTTTGTAAACATTTCTCTCACACGACTCCAATAGGTTATTTGAAATAAAATTGTAGAAGAATTCCGTGTATATTATTGTTTTATGTCAGAACTTGATACAATTTACATATTTTACTCAATTTTTAGCTCGCTCCATCTACCGCTATTCTTCTTATGTCTTTTTCCGCGGCTCACGATCCGCACGAAGATTAGTAACGTACAACGCGTGGATAAAAAGTGTCAATAATAGGTGAAAAGCTATTGAAAACAAATTTACACGTCATATGTTATTGAGCCTCGCGCAGTTCGTTGGCCGCGCACGAAGGAAGACATAAGAGAAATAGCGGTAAGCAATGCAAGCTGAAAATCGGATAAAATGTTCAAATTGTGGCAAACTGTTTTCTATGTAATATTGAGGAATATTTCGGGTAGGAACTCTGCATAGGAATGACAATAAAGGAAATATATTAAATATGGCACACTTATATACGTAAATATTTTTTTATTTTAATGTCTAGCGGGAGTGCCGCGACATCACATGTTATTTTAAAAAATATAAAATTTTAATAATTATAAAAGTTGTACACATTAATCTAAACCCCTACCCCTTCCCTTACTCCTTCTATTACCCCTCCCCCTACACCCACCTGTTTGCATGGTTCTTCCTCATCCTCTATCTCTGAATCTTAGTCTTCCTCTTCCTCTTCCTCTTCCTACCTCTTGCATAATTTGTATTAAATCTGCTCTCTGAAAAATAAAACGAAAAATAATAATTATATTAAATTTCCTTTGCTATAATGAATCAGATTCTGTAACCATATAATGGGTGCTTTCCATTTAGTGACACAAGTCGACTTAAGTCGACTTCTAGTGTCATTTCTGCTTTCCATTTAATTTGTGTCGCAATGTGTTGGTTACTTAAGTCAACTTGGAATAACTCTGCCTTTGCTGAGGGTTGAGCGAAGTTGCCAATATAGACGAAGAAAAAAGTCCTAGAGTACAATAAATATGTAAAATCACTATAGTCTTGATTATACCGACATTGTATATTAATCGTGTATCAACCGAAAAGAAAAATATATTCATATAATAATGGCAATAAAGGTATGTAAAACAAATATTTGTTTCATAGTTATTTGTAATGCTTTTTTAATATTATATTTGTTTTGTATAAAATATATTATTTAGAATAGTGATAACAGCAAAATTGAATTATTGAAATACTCGATAAAAGTATATCAATGTAAGTTATTTATTTCTAATTGTGAGTATTTTTTGGTTTTGTAATATTGTAGACTATTTCAATGAAGGACTTGCAAGCATTGCAAACTGCAGGAAAAATTGATTTCAAGAATATTGATAAAAATAGTATAAATTGTAATAATGTACAACAAAAAGCGGATTCTATCAATCTGTCCCAAGAAAATAGTTATATTAATGGACAGCAAATACAAAGAAGGCCGGATGCAACAATTTTACAGCAAGAATTGCAGGAGTGTAAATTTATATGGACTAAGCAAGCTACTTTTGCTCTTCTGTCTGCTTATGAAGCTCGAAATATTGAAATGGATAATACAAAAAAAAATAAAAGATTTTGGCAATCTATAGCTACTGACCTTAATGAATTCTCATTATCTAATACACCAGTAAGTTTATAAAACATTATATTATATTTATTACTTTACATGTACTATATGTATTTTTTAACTCATCTCTGCAGTTAACAGGTGACCAAGTTAGATGGAAATTTAGTGCGTTAAAAAAATCATATAATAAAAAGAAAGATCACAATTGTAGAAGTGGAAATGCTCCAAAGATGTTCGATGAATTCGAAAAGCGATTAATGGATATTTTAGGTGATATACATGGTAATATCAATAAAGAAAATTGCTTTAACTCACCAATATTGGAGTATAGTGTATCCAATCAATCTGAAACGCAAAATATAAGTGAAATAGTCAGTAATGAATTAGAAAATGTCAGCATGGAAGAAGAAAAGAGTAGTAACGAAAAATATACAGAAAGAAAAACAGTACGAAAGAAAAGACCACATGGAACAGGTTCACAAATAGCTCGTTCAAAAGTAGAATTAGAACACCAATGGCTACAACATCTTCAACTTATGCAACAAAAATATGAAGATAGGAAAAATTTTGATGAAATGGAATCTAAAAGAAAAACGGAAGAACTTGAATTAAAGAGAGAAAAGATACATTTGAAAAAGAAGATAATGTTATTCGAAGAGCAAAGATTAAGGCAAAAGATAGAGCTACATCGAGAGAAAATGTCTATTGAAAAAGAAAAATGTGATATATTAAGAAATATTATTCAATCTCGAAGCAGTATTTTCTAAACCAAATATTCAAGAACAGTGATATTTTTTATTTACTTGTAATAATATTTAATTATACTTATAGAAGAAAGTAAAATGTTTTGAAAACATTCGAACAAAAAAAATTTTTTTAAGAATAGTACAGAAAGATAATTTAAAAGTTCCCAAATAGCACTAAATCTCAAGGAACATCCTCAGGACGTCTTAGGAACGTTCTTAGAACGTAGAGATGTCTTCAGGATGTCTTTAGAATGTCTTTGGAGATCTATGCTGTATGGGTTATTATTAATAAAAACGTAACAGTTCTTATTTAGTTGAAAATGTTTGCTATTCAACACAGTGCAATAATTGCACGTATGTGTGTGAAAATAATTTTGATAAAACTAAATGAATAGATAAAAAGTATTCTTTTATATTATTAAGATTTTGTTTAATGTGATTAAAGAATTTAAAATTAGTTTTGTTTAAAAAAATTTATGTATTTATATTAGTTATAACTATTCCAACGTTGAAAGTATTTATTAAAGAATTATAATAATTAAGTTTAAAATAATTTTAAGGTGCTGACAAGACTGAAATTTTGTGTTGATTATGTTCACTTTCGATAATTGCTTTAAAATATTATTTAGACATGTACAAAGTACAAAATATATATTATTATTTATAAGTTTACTGATTACAAAATAAATATTAAAATAAAATAAACTAATATAAACTTTAAGTTGTATGAAAGTCAAAAGAGTTGCTCATTCAATATGTTATATTTTATTACAAAATAATTTTAAGTTCTTATATAAAATAAAATATTATTAGATAAATATTTTTCCTTATTGTTTTTAAGTTACACACAATCTCCCTTTTGAACGTACATTTCCTCATTATTATGTCATGTGAATTTTACGGTCATTTATTGATTGTTAGAGCAAAAGGAAAATGTTCGGAATATTTTAGAGGTGTGCTTAATCGATTACAAGTGCCATTTTGTGAATATATCTTTTTATTTTTGTTATTGTACTCATTTACTTTTAAACAATCATATCATATAAATTAATCTAAGCAAATATTTCAAGGAAACATTTCTCTAAATAATAAAGTTCGACGATCCACATTTTCTCCGTATAACATTTCCTCTCTTTCATCATAATTTTGTATCGGATTAAGTTCTTCTGCAACGAGATCTTCATCATAAAAACCATCGCCATTATCTCCACTATCTAAACATATATTATGAAGTACACAACAGCTTACTATAATCTGAGTCATAAAAGGGATATCACGTAACGGTAATTTGTGTAATTGTCGAAATCGACCTTTTAAAATACCAAAAGCTTTTTCAACAACTACTCGAGTTACAGATATTTTCCTATTAAACGTTTCTTGCTCAATCGTAAGATTACCATTATCTCTGAAAGGACTGACAATCCATTTTTTGGCTACTCCGTTATAACCTCCGTTATCTCCTAATAAAAACGTATTATTTGGAAAAATATTTTCTCTTTCTTGTTCAGCAAAATGAAAAAGTTCTGATCTTCTTAACATTCGAACATCATGATACGATCCCGGATCACCACACAATATACGCTAATAAATCTAGTGTTACAATCAGTAACAGCCTGTAAAAGAATTGAATAACACTGTTTTCTGTTAAAATATATTCTACTATTTTCCTCGGGTTTATTTATATAAATATGCGAGCCATCTATTGCTCCAACACAGTTCCGAATTCCAGCTACTTCTTCAAATCCACGAGATATTCGTATTATATGATTTCCTTTAGGCCATGTAATGACATCAGGAACCAAAGTTATTAGCCAATTTATAACTCGACATATGATGCGAAATACAGATGACAATGATATATCAAAGAGATTAGACAGGGTTCGATGTGGTTCTTTGTTACTTAAAAACCAGAGAGTCATCAGCAGACATAATTCCGCAGGTTTTTCTTCTTTCCCAAATTCATGTGTTGGTATAAATCCGCTAGTCTCTAAAGATTCTGAAAATATCAAATAATGAAAATTATTTTATATTACTTTATTATAAATACATTATAAAACCATTATAATATTATGAATAATAATTACCTAATAACATGTATATAGTTGGACGACTTAATCTGAAATCTTCTCTAAATTCAACATTACTTTTTGCATGCACTACGTTAAGAAAATTCTGCACATGCTCTCTTCTACGACCGTTTAATAATAACTGAAGAAGAGGAAACAGTAAATCTTCTTGAAACCAATCATTTTCTAAAAATTGATTTTGGTCTTCATCTGTAGAAACACTACTATTACTGATAGCATCATTATTATAATCACTGCTGCTGCTACTTTCATTATTTTCCAACAAGAAATTAATTGCGTTAGGCAAATTATCTTCTTCCATCTATCACAGAAAATTCCATCTATTAGTTATATGCACACATAACCTCTTCAATCAACAGTAGTAAATCCCAGCAAACACAATATAACATACCTATTAGTTGTAATTTCTTATTCAATAATATAACCGTTTTATAATATATATGTTACATAAGTATTGTAGGAAATTATAACAAATAAATATGTTACATGTTTGGGTCGCCGGCTGTAGCGTGACCGCCACACATGTTACATTTATTTGTGTAATATGTATCATATATATATATATATATGTGTGTGTGTATAGGTTTAATATTTTTACATGATATAATTAAAATTTGAATATACCTTTATATTTATGTCTTATAATAAATTTTATATTACTTATTATAATCTTCCCCAAAACAAATAATGAATGACTGTGTTTGTATTTCGCGCAACAACTTCTACGCATCGCAAATGCTTTCCATTTATCACATTGAAGTTACCGACTCCAACTAACTCAAGTCGACACAAGTTTCAACAGAAGTGATATAAATGGAAAGCACCCAATAATTAATACGGGGGCGGTCCGATAAGTACTTAGCCTCACCGTCCGATGGCGCCACTATCGCAAGAGAAATTTACTATCGTGTAGTACATTCTCGTAGACGGCTACTGTCGAAATTTCAGCCGAATCGGACTCGTAGTTTTGTTTTGACCGCGTGTGGAAGCGGGCGTGTCCGCGGATTTTAGAAAAATGGAAAAAGAGCAATATCGGTCGGTGATTCGATTCTTGTTTTTGGAAGGGAAATCGCGCAGCGAAATCAAAGAGCGCTTGGATGCTGTGTACGGTGACTCTTCTCCTTCGATGGCGACCGTCAAAAATTGGTTTAACGAGTTTCAACGTGGTCGCACGTCTGTTTTTGATGAGCCACGCCCAGGTGCCCCGAAAACGGCTACCACGGAGGATAACATGACAAAAATCCACGATCTCGTATTGGCAGACCGCCGATTGAAGGTGCGCGAGATAGCTGAGACAGTAGGCATCACAAAAGACCGCGTGGGTCATATCCTGCATGAAATTTTGGGCATGAGAAAGCTGTCGGCGCGATGGGTGCCGCGTTTGCTCACTCCGGACAACAAGTGCAACCGTGAGACCACTTCAGAGCAGTGTTTGACGCTATTTAAGCGCAATCCGAAGGAGTTTCTGCGTCGTTTCGTGACCGTCGACGAAACATGGATCCACTGGTACACACCAGAGACCAAGGAACAGTCGAAATAGTGGACTTCACCCGGCGAACGTGCTCCGAAGAAGGCGAAGACTGTCCTATCGGCCGGAAAGGTGATGGCCACCGTTTTCTGGGATTCACAAGGTGTGATCTACATCGACTACCTGGAGAAGGGCAAAACGGTCACAGGGCTATACTATGCCGAATTATTGGGCCGATTCGACGCCGAATTGCAGGAAAAACGGCCCCATTTGGCGAAGAAAAAAGTGCTCTTCCACCATGACAACGCACCGGCTCACACCTCCCTCCTTCCCTCCCTCTTGACCGGCCCTCGCCACGGTCAAATTGGTCGAATTGGGCTACGAACTGCTGCCCCATCCACCGTATTCTCCAGATTTGGCCCCGTGCGACTTCTTTTTGTTTCCAAACTTGAAAAAGTCACTCGCCGGGCAGAAATTTGAGTCGAATGAGGAGGTCATCGCCTCTATGGAGGCCTACTTTGCAGACCTCGAGAAAACGTATTTTTCAGACGGGTTAAAGAAGTTGGAGCATCGCTGGGTCAAGTATATCGAGCTAAAAGGAGACTATGTTGAGAAATAAATCGCCACTTTTCCAAAATTTTCGTTTTTCTTTTGTAGGCTAAGTACTTATCGGACCACCCTCGTATTTATACAGGGTGCACGATTTATCTGAAGACATTGAAATATCTCGAGAACTATGCATTGGATAAAAAAAAGTGGTTAATGAAAGTTGTTAGTCTCGAAGGGGGACATCCAATGATACTAAACTCGACCTCCCACCCCACCCCCTGGGGGTGGGGGTTGGGGGCAACTTTGAAATCTTAAATAGAAACCCCCATTTTTTATTGCAGATACGGATTCTACGCCACAAAATACGTAAATTTTGTCCGAAACTTTTTTTTTATTCGTGATGGATGGCGCTGTAATCGCAAAAAATTATATTTTCCGCAATTCTCCAGAAATGATCATTGGATTGAGAAATAAAAAATACCTGTTCAATATTTTTAAAGAACATAAAAGTTATTCCCCCCCCATCCTCTCGGGGTAGGGTGGGTGATAACGTACAAATCTCAAATGGGGACCCACATTTTTCATTGCAGAATTAGATTGTACGTGAAATTTTTATAGAAACAATTTTTTTCATTCGTGATAGATAGCGTTGAATTTTTCCGAGAAACTACTTTTAGCGTTATACAGGAACAACGACGAGGACGTAGTAGTTTTATATTCCCTTCGGGTGCTTTTTTAATGTGAGTCCCCTTGCCTCTCATAGATCGGGGTGCTTTTTTAATGTGAGTTCCCTTGCCTCTCACTGTTCAATTAATTAGAGTAAGTGTTCGAAATTTTTACCTTCAATTTCAATACACTTATTGTTCCTTTTTTCAAATGACTGTACACAGGATAGAAGCATATCTGCGGGAGTTTCAGCGCAAGCGTTTCTTATGCGTTCTACCATGTTTTCACGAGTTGTTGGCACTTGTTAATTTAAAAATATTGAACAGATATTTTTTATTTCTCAATCCAATGATCATTTCTGGAGAATTGCGGAAAATATAATTTTTTGCGATTACAACGCCATCTACCACGAATAAAAAAAAAGTTTCGGACAAAATTTACGTATTTTGTAGCGTAGAATCCGTATCTGCAATAAAAATGGGGGTTTTCATTTAAGATTTCAAAGTTGCCCCAACCCTCACCCCCAGGGGGTGGGGTGGGAGGTCGAGTTTGGTATCATTGGATGTCCCCCTTCGAGACTAACAACTTTTATTAACCACTTTTTTTTATCTAATGCATAGTTCTCGAGATATTTCAATGTCTTCAGATAAATCGTGCACCCTGTATATAATGTAACACTCACATTTAGTGTAACGATATCCGACGTCGCCGTTGTTGACACCGCCGTCGCGATCGTCATCGGCACCGTTGTCACTGTCGCAGTCGTCGTCGGCACCGCTGTCGCTATTGCCGTCGTCGTCGGTACCGCTGTCGCTATTGCCGTCGCCGTTGTCGTCGGCACCGCTGTCGCTATCGCCGTCGTCGTCGACATTGCATTTGCCGTCGCCGTCGTCACCGACACCGCTGTCGCTATCGCCGTCATCGTAGGCACCGCTGTCCCTATTGCTGTCGCCGTCGGCACTGCTGTCGCTATCGCCGTCGTCGTCGGCATTGCACTTGCCGTCGCCGTCGTCATCGGCACCGCTGTCACTATCGCCGTCGTCGTCGGCATTGCACTTGCCGTCGCCGTCATCGTCGGCATTTCTTCCAATAGTACTATAATAAAGGAAACATATAATGAAGAAACAACCATATATTATAATAATATGTATTCTTTATATAAAAACTACATAAAATTTGTAGAAGTGCAAAATATATATGTGACTACTTACTTTTTTGTCCGTCGCACTGCATGACATCCGACACCCGTACCATTGACTTGCTGAAGATCGACTGGACATTGGATCGACGTTGTGCTGCGCTGTAAACATATCGCGCGGTTGCCGCTATTCAAACACGTGCGCGTGATTCAATCAACAGACCGTAAGTTTGAGAGGCTATTCTATAGGGTGTTTTATAACAATAGTTGCACAGCTCGTTGAGACATAGAGCGGATTAAGACAAACATATAAGTACCGTTTTGTAAGATTCACAATAATTATCGAGTTATTAACCCATTAAGACCCATGCTTAAACCAATAGAGATATAAAAAAAGTAACTATTGCGTTTCTGGCATGGGTACTACCAATGATTATTGGTATTTGAAATTAGTTGAAAAAAATTTTTCTTAACAAATTCTTATTAACAAATTAAGAAAAAATAACTTGTCCGAAAAACTAACCACGCTGATCGATTCTACGGGAAAAATCACTAAAGAAACATGTATTTTCGATTTTCCGCTTCATTTGTTGTTAAAAAATTACAAACAATCTCTAAAATTCCAAAAATGCATACATTTTCTTTGCTAAAAAAGAGTAATATAATAAGATTTGTACAAAAATAATTTATACAAAAAGCTATGAAATCATAACAAGAAGTCTTTACAAAAGAAAAAAAACCCCGAGTAATATGAAAAGAAGTACCAAACCAAAAAATATGAAAAAGAATATCGATGACTTTAAATCATATATATGTCATCATATATATATGTAATCATATATAAATCATGTATACGTGTGTATACATTTCAACGCTCAGGGCACGTCGAGTTCCCGGAGCCGAACGACACGGCGCAGCACACCCTCGCCGAGTGCGAGGCATGGTGCGAGCAGCGCCGTGTCTTGGCCCGAGCAGTGGGGTGCAGGATGGAGGACCTCTAGCTCCCGCGCATGGTCCGTGCCATGTGCGGGAGCGAGGAGGTATGGGGAGCGGCGGCCTCCTTCTGCAAGGACGTAATGTCCCAGAAGGAGGCCGCCGAGTGGGAGCGCCGACCCGACCCGGACCGTGGAGTGCGTGGGGGTCGAAGGCGGCGCTCCCCGGGAGATGAGAGCGGCCCCGAGGTGGCGCTGGCCGGGAGGAGGCGGCGGAGACAGATAACCCGGATTCCGCGGCCCCCCCGGCCGCCTCGGGGCCGACTTCGGGCGCGCGGGGGAGGGACGCAGGAAGGGAGGTGAATGACCTCCTCCTGCGCTCCCTCACGCGTCAGTTAGGTTAGGATAAGGGGAGCGAGGCCTTCTGGGAAAGGGTCTCGCTCCCCCGCCCCCCCGGAGTGGGAACTCTATGGATGGGGGCGGGGAGGTGGGGGTGTCCCTCCCCTCCCGTAATAGTTACCGGAAAGCCAACCCGGTCGGCCTAGCCGACTGGGGCGCTGCGCCCTGAATCTTTTCCTCAAGGAGAAGGGGGCGCGGCTCTTGGGCGTGGGGCTCGACAACGAGCCCTGGGGCCGGGGTGTCGGGGAGGGAATGTTGGCGCAGTTCCCCTGACTCCCCCCATCTCGGTCCGACTGGTAGACACCCCGCAGGGGTTTTAGTGAGTAAGAGTCTCACATAACCCTTCGCCCCTCCCAAGGGGTGGAGGATACCCATGATGGGTTGCCCCTGCGTTATCAAAAAAAAAAAGGGCACGTCGAGTTTTCCAACCCGGCCCCCTTAAGTGGGGACTGAGAGGACGAGGGACGACATGGTCTCGTCTCCCGTTAGCCGCCGCGGTGAAGGCGACTCGGCAAGGGACCTTCGCACTGGGGGGTGGTCGAGAGTCAGCGTGGTACTGCTGGCTGCTCGGCCGCCCCAGCTTTAGGTGCTGGGGCCTCAGCCACACGAGAGAGCAGTATACCGCTGCGGTTGACCGCAGCGGATTATGCTTCAGTTGTTGCCGAGGCGGGCACACCGCGGGAGTGTTCCAACACTCTAGAGTGCGCGGTGTGCCGAGAGGGCGGGAGGGAGGCCGGCCACCGGATTGCCGGCCCAGCCTGCTGGCTGATCCTGAAAGGGGGTGGCGGGCGCGGAAGGCGCCAGGGCCGCCCCCCCCCCAACGAGGGAATAATGGGGATGGGCGCGATTTCGCGTCCATTGTAAAGGGGGGAGGGAGCCGCTGGGTAGCGGCTGTAAATGTGGACGTGCGCGTTTGCGCAGTTGTCCGCAAGGGTGGTGCTCGCCGAAGTGGTGACGGCGAGGTCTTCGGATCAAAGGGGTTGCCGGCGGTCCTAGGCCGTGGGGGGGAGGATCTGGTCTTCCTCACGTAGAGAGGGGACTGGCCTTCCCTGCCGCGGGGGACCTGGGCGAATGCTGGGCGACCCGGCTAAAAAGGACGCACTCTCGCCGGATCATTAGACCCGGATGGGAGCCTCCCTCCTCTCTCTCTTTTTTAGACCGGTGCGGGTCGGGTGAGAGAGGGGGGAGAAGAGGAACCGTGTCCCGGGTGGGGGTCGGGCGCGGTTCCTAACCCCACCTCGAACACCGGAGGTGGGGTTGAGGGAGGGGGCGGGTGTCTCCCTCCCTCGCCGGCCCTGCAGCACGGCCGGATGGGGCCAGGTATCTCTCCCTCCACGTGTCGGGGGGAGAGAGACAATACCTGGCCCCGGTTTACCCCGCGCAACCCTCGATTGGACGGCGCTCCCCGGCTCAGGAATGGCGGTTATGAGTGGGCAAGCGGCCTTAGGGCCGTCTCCATCCGCTCCCCCTTCCTGGGCTGAAGGGCAGAAGGGAGCGGACGTTCTGGAAGTCACACAGGCGGCACGAGGATTTTCTCGTGTCTAGCCGCGTGGCTCCCCCCTCCCATCCCCCCCATAAGTCCAGTGGTACGCGGGGGGCCAAAGATGGTCTGGGGCTCCGCGAGCGGAGCCAACGGGGGTGGTGGTTTAGTAGAAGGAATAGGGGACTAGTTCCTATGGCCGTTTCTAACGCTACCCCCGAAGGCAGGCCCCCCCTGGTGTTTCAGTCGGTGCGAGTCCGACATAACCCACGGGTCCCCCCAGAGGAGGGTGTGGTCCAGGTAGGGACTCCCGAAGGGCAATCGCCCTCCGTACTTGAGGAGACACAAGAGGTCATAGCCACCAAGGCCGAAGCTCCCTCTGGGGAGACTGAGGCGGCCCAGCCGCCAGAGGTCTCCCAAGAGGGGGTGAAAGTAGACAGCCCGGAGGAGGCGTGTAAGGCCTAGCCTTCACGCCACTCCGGGTGCTACAGGCTAACCTCGACCGCGGCGCCCGGGCCCAGGACCTGTGGGTACACAGGATCCGGGAACTGGGCGCCAGACTGGGAGTGGCCACCGAGCCGCAGTAGGTGCCGACCAGCAGCGAATGCTGGTTCGACAGCCCGGACGCCTCGGTGGCCATGGTGGCTGACCATGCAGCAGGGACCTCTCCTTGTGTTTTAAGGGAAAAGGGGTCCTCGTACGTGGCGGACGACTGGGGGCCGATTACTGTGGTGGGGGTATGTCTCCCCCACCACAGAAACAAAGCCGGACTTGGCGACCCCACCCGTATTAAGGGGATCCTAGACAGGATCGAGGATTTAGTGCGCAAGTGCCATCCCCGACCTGTCGTGATTGCCGGGGACTTTAACGCCCACTCTGAGGAGTGGTGTTGTAGTCCCCAGCAACGGGATCTCAGGGACGAGGTCGTCATCGGCTGAGCGGCGGGATTGGGCCTACTGTTGCTAACAGAGGGTCCACCGGCACCTGTATAAGGCCAGGGGGTCATCGGTCATTGATTTGACATGGGCCCCCTCTCGGCTGCCAGGATGGTTTCCGAATGGAGGGTAGAGGTGGAGGGCGAGATATTATCTGACCATAGATATATAGTCTGGGCTCTCCACCTCCCCAAATCAAGAAAGGTGTCGTCCCGCCGCTCTGGGGAGAGGAATTTTCCTCTCCCCAAAAGATGGGACCTCAGTCGACTAGATGTGGACAGGTTAAGGGCTGCTGTCCTTGTGGCCACCTGGCACATAGAGCCAGGTGAGTGGGACCCCGGCCACTTGGAGGGGGCCGGAGAGATAACGGGGATAGTGGCGTCGACATGCGACGCCGCGATGCCCCGTTCCCACCCCCGTCGGCGCCGGGCTGCGTATTGGTGGTCGGAGGAGATAGCGAGACTTCGTAGCGACTCCGGCCGCACCAAACGGGCGTATACGCGGGCCCGGCGACGAGACGGGGATGCCACAAGGGCAAAAGAGGACTACCTTGCCGCGAGAGTAGTTCTCAAGAAAGCCATTAGAAAGGCCAAGCGAGAAGCCTGGGAGCAATTGGTGAGCTCCCTGGATGACGATCCGTGGGGGCGCCCGTACAAGAGGACGATGGGAAAGATTCGTCCTTGGGTGCCCCCACAGACAGAAACGTTGGACCCCCAGGCCCTCGATGCGCTTCTGGGCGCCCTCTTTCCGAGGGCGGAAGAGGGCCCTCCCGTGATCCCTTCCCCAGAAATGGGGGAGGGAGACTGGGACGAGGGCCTGGAGGTCACTCCAGAGGAGCTCGCCAAGGCCCGGAGAAAGCTCGATGGCAAAGGTAAAGCCCCTGGCCCCGATGCGATTCCGAGTAGCGCCTGGGCTCTCGCGTTGGCCGAAGGGGACCTATCCGCAGCCACATGCAGGGTCATGACAGGATGCCTCAAGGAGGGGGTGTTCCTCCCAGATTAGAGGAGGGCCAAATTGGTCCTCCTCCCGAAGGAGGGCAAGGAGCCCGGTAGTGCGTCAGCCTACAGGCCGATTTGCCTGCTGGACGAGGCGGGCAAGATGCTGGAGCGCATCGCGGACCGCCTCGTCCAGTAATGTCCTCGAGTGGGCTGGATCTCCACGACCGCCAGTACGGGTTCAGGCCCTGACGATCCACGCTGGATGCAATCCAGTGGGTCCGGGACCTGACCCGGGCGGTCGTGGAGATAAGGAGCGGGGTGTTGTTGGCGGTGTCGCTAGACATATCTAACGCCTTCAACACCCTATCCTGGCCGGAGATAGGACGGGCCCTCGAGCACTTCGGGGTGCCCACCTATCTCCGGCGGATGATGTCCACCTACTTTGGGGACAGAGACCTCGCCTTCACGAAAGAAGGCGGGCTTCAAGGCTGGCGCACCATGGAGCGCGGTGTCCCACAGGGGTCGGTGCTCGGTCCCCTGCTGTGGGACATCGGCTTCGACCGGGTTCTTCGCACTCCGCTCCCGTAGCAGACGACGTGGTGTCTGCTACGCAGACGACACGTTAGTGGTGGACGAAGGGGAGAGCTGGGGGGAAGCCCGCTTCCATGCGGAGGTGGCAGTGGCATCGGTGGTGGGAACCATCGGTCGGGGACCTGGCTCTCAAAGTGGCGCCCCTCAAGACTGAAGTCGTGTTTTTTCACGACGGCAGTCGAGGGGCGCCGCCGGAGACCCGGGTCCTGGTCGATGACGTCCACGTCCGCGTCGGGCCGACGATGAAATATCTCGGCCTGACGTTGGACAGCCGATGGTCATTTGGGCCTCACTTCAGGCAGCTGGCCCCCAGGGTATGCAAAGCCGGACTGGCTGTAGCCAGGCTGATGCGCGCCCAAGGGGGCCCAGTATGGTAGGCTCGCCGCCTGTATGTCAGTGCGGTTCTCTCGATCGCCCTGTACGGGGCGCCCATATGGGCCCCCCAGTTGCTGGCCACTGCGATGACCAAGCGACTTATGAGGCAGGCCCTCAGGCCTGTCATGATCAGGGCGATTCGAGGGTCTCGCACAGTGTCATACATGGCTGCGACCACCCTGGCCGACTCCCCCCCCGTGGAGCTCCTAGCCGAGGAGAGGCGTGTCCTCTACTGGCGAGTAAAGGAGCTCCGCGAGGGGGGAGAGCTGACGGCCAGGGACATGAAGGCCCTTATGACCTAGGCCAGAGACCGGACCCTGGAGCGGTAGGAAGGCTTGCTAGCCGACCCCCGAGGGTCCAGTCTCGCAACGGCCGAGGCTGTCCGCCCCTGTCTGTCCGAAGTGGCAGGCAGGAAGGGGCGTGGAATGTCCTTCCACCTGGTGCAGGTATTGACCGGGCACGGTTGCTTCGGGAGATACCTGCACCGGATAAGGAAGGAGCCCATCACTCGGTACCACTACCACCCCGAGCAAGAGGACGCGGCGCTGCATACCCTGGCTGCCTGCGCAGCATGGGACGAGCAGCATTGTGTCCTGCTCGGGGCGGTGGATTGCCGGGATGGGGAGCTCTCGCTCCCGCACCTAGTGCGAGCTATGTGCGGGAGCGAGAAAGCGTGGGACATGGCGGCCTGCTTCTGTCGGGAGATGATCTCCCAGAAGGAGGCCGCCGAATGGAGGCGCCGGCCTGGCAAACGTCGTCGCGGAGGACGGCGGGGCCGGTGCTCCCCGGGGGGGGGGTTAACAGCGGGCCCGAGGTGGCATCGGCCGAGGAGAGGCCGCTGGCTTATACGGGTCGGCGCCTCCCTCGGCCACCTCGGGCCAGGCTCCGTCACTCGGGGGGGAGCGAGGAGATTAGCTCCCACTCCCCCGAATGATCGGGTAGGAAGGGACAAGTGGAGGTGGATAACCCGGTTGGGGTCGGGCCTACCTCCCCAATTCCCCCCTCTCTCTCTGAACCTTCCAGGAAAGGGGAAGAATAAGGAGGAAGGGTGGATGTTCCCTTCCTCCTAGGAGACACCAGAAGGCCAACCGGTGGCGTTACCCGCCGGGGACCGCGCTCCTCCCACTAATTCCCCGAAAGCGGAGGGGGGTGCGGCGAGGGGCTCTTAGTTTAGAGCCCTAGGGCCGAGGGGTTTGGGAGGGAATGCGGGAGCAGTTTCCCTAACTCCCCTCTTCACGGTCCGACAGGTAGACATTCCGCAGGGGTTTTAGTCGGTAAGAGTCCGACATAACCCCCGCCCCCCAAGGGGCGTATCAAGGGGGGTATCCATGATGGATTTCCCCTGCGTGAACAAAAAAAGAGCACGTCGAGTCAGAAACTGACATGGACGTCGGTCTCACGGCCGTGAGCAGCCAACCACAAGGGAGGAGGACTACCAAAAGGAGGAGGGTAACAAGGGTGCCAATTATGATGTCGTCCACCTCTGGGGACGGGGTCTGAGAACGGGGTCAAGGTTTACAATGACAACCTCGACCTGTTCAAAAGGGAGGAGGCCACCGTTCCCACCGTTGTACACAGGCCACCCATCAATGAGGTCAGAAGGGAGTTGGACGACTCCCTGGCCGCTACCAGCCATTTGGAGCCACCGGAGGTTGTGGCCTATGGAAACCTATCCAGGGCCATGAACCTCTGCATTGACGAAAGGGACGGACTGGATAAGGAAGACGCAAGGTACAAAAGCCTCTCTATGGAACTGGAGAGGCTGACCAAGAGCAGAGAGGAACTGAGAGGGAAGGCAGGGAAATGGACACAGGTGCCAGTGGTGCGGACTCTGGCCTGCCGACCCGCTCCCCCTCCGGTCGTGGAGGCACTAGCCAACTCGACTGGGGGTGGAGGGGGAAGGGGCCGGAGACGCAGATACGGGCGGATAAAGCGACGACTAAGATCCGGAAGAGGAAGGAACAGAGGAAGAGGCAGCTGGAGAGAAGGAGACAGGTGGAAGCTGTGAGGTGGACCGGGTTGGAGCAGGAAGAGAAAGGGGGGTGATATCTTAGAGGAGGGAAGAGAAGACATATGCCCAGGTCGTGGGGAAAGTAATAGGAGAGACCAGGGGGGGCCGCAGCAGGAGGCGCCAACTGCGTATCCCCCCATCCGGCCAGCAGAGCAACAGCAACCTGTGGTGCAGGGTGAGGGCTGGACTAGGGTGATGGGTAAGAGGGAGAGAGGGAGAATTAAGAGGCAGATGGAAAGGGCATCTGCCCCTCCTCCTCCTCCCACTCGTCCCTCTTCGGGGAAGAAGACCGGGGAGACAAGGCTGAGGCCACCTAAATCGGCCGCCGTCACCGTTAGGTGCCCCGACGGTGAATGCAGACAGTTTATGACTGAGGCCAGGCGCCGTATCAGGACGGCGGATCTTGGGATCGCGGAATCCGTCAGGGTTCGCCGGGCCCTGACTGAGGCATTGCTCATCGAGGTGCCTGGCCTCAACGCCGGGGCGCCCGCCGACCGGCTTGCGGAGGAAAAAGGCCCCGAATATCAGGTCCAGAGGCCGGTGGAGATCGCAGCTTTGCGATTCACCGGCCTGGACCTAACTATAGGAGCCCAGGAGGTGGCGGTGGCCATTTCCCTCGTTGGGGGATGCTCACCCACGGAAGTTTCTGCGGGTGAGCTGAACATTACCCAGCGAGGGGCAGCGACAGTGGTGATGAGGTGTCCGCCGGCGGCGGCCGCTAAGGTCGCCGCGGCGGAGCGGATCCAGGTGGGCTGGACCCGTGCCGGAGTGACGGCGCTGCCCGCTCGCG